GAAGAAGAAGAAGAAGAAGAAGAAGAGAGAGAGAGAGAGAGAGAGAGAAAATTTTGCAAAAAGTTGGAAATATGCGCGCAAAATGCATTTTAATTTTAAAAAATTGTTTTATTATTTTATTCCCAATTTTTGAAAACAGAGAACAAAAGAAAAGTGGCATAATTAATATATATTATGACTAGTACGTTTAATGTACAAATTGTGCAATTCATTTTCTCTTTTTTTAAATTTCGCTGATTGTGTTACTTTTCTTTGTTCTACTTTTCTTTTTCGTTAAAATATTATGCAATTATGCGTTTAAAAACATTCCCTTGATAACTCATGAATGAAATAAAAAATAGTTGATTTCCTTCGAAAAATACGTATTATGTTTCAGTGTTTAGAAAAAAAAGGTTTTAACGATTGTAATCATTGAATGTCAAAAATAGATCGTTAACTTTAATAACTGTACTTGTTTCGCGTTGACTTAAGTAAGATAAAACGATATAAGTTAATTCATCATCATTAACGCGAGGCGATCACTGTGATAAAGCCGCTCACGTAATGTCCTAAAGACGCTGTCACGCTACTGTGCAAGGATATAAAAAAAAATATTATATCATAAGATTTTATAGCATTATATAAATATGTATTTAAAAAAGTGTAAATAAAAAAATAAATCGTAAAAATATATAAGATATTAGATTATTTTATATACAATGTCTTTAATGGAAAAGAAAATAAATATGTTGAGAGTCTGACAGATTCGTAAAGAAAATTACAAGGAAAAAGATATGTAGAAAAAAATGAAAATTATACATGACGCAAAGAAAATTTTCATATTATCTGATCTCAATCGGATCGCAAACTCGACGTTATATGAAGGCTATAAGAATGATTCAAGAGAGACGTGAATTTACAAAAAAAGTGCACGCAAACGCATAAAAGAGTACTAATGGAGACTTTAAAAATGGGGGCGGGGAAACGATAAAAAGAGCGAAAGAGAAGTGTGAAGAAGGAAAAGAATAAAAAAATGGAATCAGTGGGAAAAGAGATGGAAGACAAACGACGAAAGATGCAGTCAAGTGAGGGGAAAAGGAGGTAGAAGGCCACTGAGTGACAGGAAAGGACGAAAAAGATAGAACAAATGAGAGAGAAAGGGAGACGACAGGATCGGCTCTTTCTCCCTCTTCCTCTCTTTGATAAAATAAATTTTTCTTATACTATTTTATTTTACTATTTTATATTCGAAACCAACATCTTCAAAATTGATTTATTTTACAATGATATTTACGATTGGAACAGAAAATTCTACTGATTACTTTAAACCTTTATTCAATATAAATTTTAAATTATTGCAAAATACCTTTTGATAAAAAAGTGCTGCATAATCATTAATCTCTTAATATATTTCCACGCTTAATTTATGGATCTGTTGATGATTTCTCGGCAAAATAACGAATAAATACAAATGAAATAATTTCCATTTTTAAATACCACTTAATACTATTTGTATCGTGTGATATTTGCAAACCAAAGTGGTCTTTATAACAAAGCCAAGCACGTGCTTTTTCCGCGGACACCTAGCGCCGGCCCTGGGAGAGGGAGCGAAGGATAGAGGGGGAGGGGAGGGGAATGCCGTCGGGTAGAGGGAAGGTGGCGAATCGCGAGTGGGGGTCGATCGCGTGGAGGAGAATCGCAAGAAGGAGGGAAAAAGAGCGGCGACGAGGTCGCCCGAAGGTAGAAGCGCGAGGCACTCACTCGAACGACAGAGGGGAGGCGGATGTCTGGGTGGGAGGGGGATGACGCACGGGGGTGGCGGAGCGCGCAATGTTCAGCGCGGGGGCAGGCGGCGATCGCGACTTGCTGGCAGTCTCGTTGATCCGGCTGCGAGCAGTGCGCGCCGTGACGTGACAATGGCGGTAGTCGTAATTGCGGTACGGTGCGATATTGTGATCAGCTGATCAACCGAGTCTGAGAAGAAAGGAAAGAGAAAAAAAGCTCGATAGCGAGAGAAAAAGCCCGTCTATTTCAAGAGGTATTTCAAGAGAGAGAGAGAGAGAGAGAGAGAGAAAGCATCGGCGGAAGAGCGGCCGAAAGAGAGTTCGCCACCTCGCAAATCACCCTCGCTGGTAATGTCAACGCTCTCGTGATCGGGCCCTCGAAGGTGTGCTCCTCATTCTCCTCCGGTTGTATGTGAATTATACGGTGTGCCGTCCCGGCGCTCTCCCCCCGCTACCCCCGTTCGCTACCCCCCGTTTCGTCGCCACGCGTGTACATCCGCTCGGTGTGTTGTGTCTGTGCGGCACGTATGCGTGAGGTTCGCACGCCCGGTAGATAAATGTCTCTCAGCCATGCCCGCCGTGCGGAAGTACCGAAGGGATACCAGCGAGGTGAGCTGCTGCCTCAAGTACGTGATCTTTGGATTTAACGTCATGTTCTGGGTGAGTATCGCAACAAACCACTTCACTTTGGCGCATCTCGAGACTCGCGAGATTTCGGAACGTTCCCTCCTTGCCTTGTCGGGGAAAAAAACTTTGCATGCCTCGCCACCGAACTTCCAGACCACGGCAAGCTAGAGGCTCCGCGAGGCGTGTAGCTTCATTAGCCATTTAGACGAAAAACTTCCGAATCTTAGCTCTCCCCGAAGAAATCCTTCGGTCGTTACTTCCAAACTTCTCCCGACGATGCGGACATTGCCTGCAGGAGGATCTCGGACATTACAGTCCAAACAGATCACGATCGTTACTTCAGAGTCTTTGAATATTATCTTCGAAGAGAATCCGAATATAGTCTTTCACGAGATAAAATTACCTTCGATAAAATCTCGATCTTGAGACTATTTTGAGATCAAATCTCGTCAGTTCGAAAAAAATTCACGCTATATTACAGACGCTATTTTCGAGATATTTCGAGCGTTAATTTTGTAAAAACTATAGCGTTTCATTAGAGGAAAATGGCACAAAGTCAGAGGCGAGCTTTGATAATTGTATGGAGTTCTATAATACGTTCAGTAAACGAGTAGTTCTGTAATGGAGTCTCTTTTAATTTATACAAGCTTCGTGCTTTACAAAGTCATTATTAATTTTCCGTGTGTTTGCGTGAAAAATGTAACGTGAGCGAACAATGTTTCCAAGGTGGAGTAAAATTTGCGTTGCCTTCCGGTCGCTGTTGTTTGCATCGCAATGAGAGTTTACTATTGCGCTGCATGCGAGATTCCTTCCACGTTCAAATCAAGTGTATCGTATCTGTTTGTTTAATAACGCTCATACGTTGTTTAAAAAAATGCTGATGGATCGTAACAATCGCTGCGCCTCTCGTGTGCTCGGCAATGGGATATAAAATCCACGGGGACCAGTTCTACGTGCGCGCATGTTTACAAAATCTCGAAATACTACATCTTGAGATACCACTTGGTCGCGGTGTGGTCTCGATTCGCCGCGCGTCGTTGCACTTCGCGTGTTCTTATCTTAATGATGTTAAATGAGAAAGTTATTGACGCGCGATCCGCGGATTACGCTTCCGAAGCGCTCGTTCCGTTCCTCCATCCCTTCGTAAAGGGGGTTCCTCCTCTCTCCCTCTTCACAATGGAATTTCTCGCTGGCAGAATGCGATTACGTCTGTCACGTCAATCGAAGAGTTTCCATGTAAAACGCTATCGGACAGATATCAATTATCGTGCCTTACACACGCACGTACAGACACTCACGAGCAGGATCTTATATTTGTGCTGTCGGTAGATACCTAAGAAACATAAATGTAATCTGAGGCTTTATTATGTATTAGACAGCACTTTCATATCTGTTATATATTCAGTCATGGATAAAGTTTTTCTTCTTACATTCATATTGAAAGATCATTGGAATTAATCAACAATTTACGATGTTTTATTGATGAACGAGGAGGAAAAATGGATGATTAAATAAATTTTTTTACAATAAATTTACATGTAAAGGAGTTATCAATTATAAATTTAAATCAGAAGTAAAATACCAATGAGGACCAACATTGAAATATGTGTGTTATTTTTGAAAAATTAGATAAATAAACAGTTTCAATTAGTTTTGATCTTCTTCAGTATTAAAATTTAAAATAATTACAATGAGATAAATACAAGAAAATACAATAGATAAATAAAATAAAATAAAACAATACAAAACGGGAAAAAGTAAATATAAAATAAAATTAAGAAATAAAAATAATCAAAGGTCTGTAATGCGAATGGTCAAAGAATTAAAACGTGTAATTTGTAGAAAAATTGGTCAAAAAGGTAAAAATAGTGTTCAAAAGACATTACGTAAACAAAATTTAAGTCAGTGTTGAGAGCTCGTGACGGACTTTCAGGACAACAGATCATAGTCCGAAATAACATTCTCTACATACTTTGTACGAGACGAATAGGATTTGATTTGGCACACAGTAGATCGCCGTTAAACACAGTGCGGACCTAGGTCATCCTTCGAATTTATCGAAGGAAGCGATTCGAATAAAAGCGAAACGGTGCTTCGGAGAATCGATCTTTTCGACGATGACAAACTTTTGTTTGTTGTTGCCAGGAAAATTTGCGGGTCGCGCGATATCGCATTTTTACAGAGAAAAACGCCGCGAACGACCCGCAATGCAGTTCACGCGGGCCACGAGGTGTCCCAATTGCGAGGATCGCGACGGCGCTGTGCAACGGTGCACGTGTGCGTTACGGTCTGCATATTGTTCCCGTGCGCGTTACGTGTACGTTAGCTACAAAACGTACAGAGAGAATTCGTCTTTATCCGGCCAAAAACTCGATCTAAAAACGGGAGATCTGATGTGATATCTCTTCCCTCTTTTATTTCTGCGATTTCAGCGACTTTCCGTATCGCGTAATAACAGCGCGATTCGATACGCTCAGGTTGCTGATTTGACTTGTCCATTTACGACTGCATTAAAGCCGGAAGAACGGCGGATAATGCGGACGCAAAATGACTTTTCGTAGAAACAAATCGCTATTCGGCGGCGTATCGACGGCGAGCCGTGGCGCGGCTGGCGTTCGCGCGCTTAAAGGGGATGGCACGGGCCGTTTTCTCCTGTCAAAAGAGTAGGATCCCCCGCGTTTGCGGGGCGTTTGCGTCGTATTCGCGATTTCCTTTGATTTAGGTTCCGTTTGATCGAGCAGCTGTCAGTCCTGCGGCTGAAACGTCCGTGCGACAGTCATGGTAGATCAACCGATACCGCTGAGCGCGGCGGCGGCGGCCGCCGCGTTTCTCTCGCACACGGCTGTTTACAAATCGTAATTTTATCTCGCGTACGAGCGCGTTACAGCCCGGAGGATTCGCGCGACGCGCGTTACCTAGTTCGCGAATTGATTTACAATGCCGTAAAACGGGGGCGAGCCTCGACCTCGTCGCTCGGATTTCCGAGCGAATCCTATTTCTCGGCGAGACCCGCGTAAGCCTCTACGCGCTGTCGGCGCGAGGCGCGAGACGCGAGATTTAGAGAGTCTTCATAGATTTAGAGTCGACCTGCCTGTTAACGAGGTGAAAACGTCAATAACGCGGAGGCACGGAAAAGCGGAGTTCGTGGATAAAGCCGTAAATCAAATCGGACGTCTCCGCGCTATTTTCTCGATATAAACCGGCTCGTCGCGATTAACAGCGAATAACCTCGCGACTCGCGATGCCGAAACGGTAAAAAATACGCGCGCGGGTTGCGCCAAACCCCCGATCGGGGGGGGGGGGGGTACCTCGACCGGGGTGAAATAACCGCACGGTAATGAACCCCGTGCGAGCTTATTTCACCGGGACGGATTAAAGGTGTTATTGATTTTCCCGTAGCCAGCAGGCGGCGGGCTCGGTTCGGGGTTTTCACGAAATGTAGCACTCGCCTAGTGATATGTGGAGAGTTCTTCCTCTGCCAGACACTCCGCGTAATTAAGTAGCGGCCGTGCCACGAAAGATCACGCTCGTCTGAGATCTATTTCACGATTCGCGAATGAAGATATAAAACATGATATTAATTACGTTTATATCAATATGTCATTTATATCAATATATGCGCGATATATCTCAACGAAATTGAAGAGGTAAAATGACGTACGAAATGGAATTTTTATTAAATGAAGATGGAAATGAAGATAAATTTGATATAACTTCTTCAATCTAAGTGACAGATTTTGTATTTCGAGATAACAAAATACATAAAAAGGTGTTCTTTATACTTCTACCTATTGTACAGTTCAAAATAATGATAAGTAATAATTAAATATCTACTTTTTTAGTAAGAAGTTTGCTCATTATATAGTTCACATTATACAATTTTAGAATTTATTTGTAATAATTTGTATAGATATTGTTTCATCATATTAATGACCGAGTATTTATTTCGAAATCTCTGTATAGAATAAGAAAACCGAATGCAATATTTTTACTCATGAGGAAAAAAGTAGTACACTTAATACGCAATCAAGCACCGTGTATCGAGCGACCACGTGAAAATCCACGAATCGATCGAATTAGGGGATTCTCGATTCACTCTGAGCTAATAAAAGTCGCAACTTTGGCAATACGGTTCTGATATTCTTTCGGCGAACTTACGGACATTCGCCGGGGCCCTAAGTTTTGTAGTTTGGAAGTCGCGGTGAGTTAACCCGGCGACTACCAGCGTGCTCTCTCTCTCTCTTCTCTCTATATACTGGACAAGATGTAAAAGAGAGAAGAAAAGGAGGTGGAGAGAGGGAGGGAGGAAGGGAGGGAGGAAAACTAGGAAGGGAAATGCGCGTTTTGCGAACGAAAAACGCGCCACATTTCGTCTCGGGCTCGTAAAATTTTTACGCGTCGCTGAAAAATAATAACGACCGTCGCGCAAAATAATTTCATCGCGGACGTAGAACTCCGCGATGGGCGGAATGATTTTCCTCGTGCGAGCGGAAATCCGAGCGGCGCCGCGCCGCGCCGCGCCGCGTCGCTCGGTTCGTAAAGTTGGCGCGCGGAAAATGAAATACCGCGCGAGAAGCATTTATGGCTTGTCGGAGCGCGCCTCCGAGATCGTCGCTCGCAATCCCGTAACAAACTCGTAACGCAATTTCCCGTTGCCCTTTTTCGCTCTTTGAGACGCGAGGAAAAAAAGGAGAGAGAGAGAGAGAGAGAGAGAGAGAGAGAGAGAGAGAGAGAGAGAGAGAGAGAGAGAGATGTGAAACACTCTTCCGGCACTTTCCCTTTAGATCACCGATTATCAACCGCGTCCATTTCCGGCGTTATTTACATCTCCAATTGGTAATACCGTAGCGACTATATTGATGCAATCATTGTGCTTATCGTGCTTGCACAGCTGGCCCAGTTCCGTTGCAATTCACTCGAATTAACGGGAGCAGCTTCAATGACCAGTTCGAATGTTTGTTTTTGAATGGAAAAACAAATTATATTTCATCGCTTATTCTTCGCTTATTTTGCTCGAAAAATGAAAATAAACC